ATCTGTTGTAGACTTTGAGGGTTTAGAACCATATGTTGGAAACTTTGATGATCTAGTGAACCATCTGTGAAGGTTTTCAGGGCATAATTAGCCATTTGGTAAAGGCCATCAGGCTCTAGTGAGCCATTTGGTGGAAACCATCAGATTCTAGTGAGCCATCTGGTAAAGACTATCAGGGTCTAGTGAGCCATGTGGTGATTTCAGTCAGATTCCTCATCATACTCAGCGATATGTCTGAATTTCTCATTTTATGGCTTTGTTAACTTTCCCATTATCTCCCATTTCTCCAGCGAATGACTCTTCTTTTTCTCATGTCTTTCCTGCTATTACGAAGTTCGTTATGTAGGTTGCATTAGCTACGGTCTTCAGAAGATAGATTTTTTTTTTCGAATTTCATCCTCGATACTGCCCTTTATTAAGGTCAATTTTGAACGCTCTGTTGGAAATATGACATTTTATTTATTTTTATTATCACACTGGCCGATTCCCACCAAGGCAGGGTGGCCCGAAAAAGAAAAACTTTCACCATCATTCACTCCATCACTGTCTTGCCAGAAGGGTGCTTTACACTACAGTTTTTAAACTGCAACATTAACACCCCTCCTTCAGAGTGCAGGCACTGTACTTCCCATCTCCAGGACTCAAGTCCGGCCTGCCGGTTTCCCTGAATCCCTTCATAAATGTTACTTTGCTCACACTCCAACAGCACGTCAAGTATTAAAAACCATTTGTCTCCATTCACTCCTATCAAACACGCTCACGCATGCCTGCTGGAAGTCCAAGCCCCTCGCACACAAAACCTCCTTTACCCCCTCCCTCCAACCCTTCCTAGGCCGACCCCTACCCCGCCTTCCTTCCACTACAGACTGATACACTCTTGAAGTCATTCTGTTTCGCTCCATTCTCTCTACATGTCCGAACCACCTCAACAACCCTTCCTCAGCCCTCTGGACAACAGTTTTGGTAATCCCGCACCTCCTCCTAACTTCCAAACTACGAATTCTCTGCATTATATTCACACCACACATTGCCCTCAGACATGACATCTCCACTGCCTCCAGCCTTCTCCTCGCTGCAACATTCATCACCCACGCTTCACACCCATATAAGAGCGTTGGTAAAACTATACTCTCATACATTCCCCTCTTTGCCTCCAAGGACAAAGTTCTTTGTCTCCACAGACTCCTAAGTGCACCACTCACTCTTTTTCCCTCATCAATTCTATGATTCACCTCATCTTTCATAGACCCATCCGCTGACACGTCCACTCCCAAATATCTGAATACGTTCACCTCCTCCATACTCTCTCCCTCCAATCTGATATTCAATCTTTCATCACCTAATCTTTTTGTTATCCTCATAACCTTACTCTTTCCTGTATTCACCTTTAATTTTCTTCTTTTGCACACCCTACCAAATTCATCCACCAATCTCTGCAACTTCTCTTCAGAATCTCCCAAGAGCACAGTGTCATCAGCAAAGAGCAGCTGTGACAACTCCCACTTTGTGTGTGATTCTTTATCTTTTAACTCCACGCCTCTTGCCAAGACCCTCGCATTTACTTCTCTTACAACCCCATCTATAAATATATTAAACAACCACGGTGACATCACACATCCTTGTCTAAGGCCTACTTTTACTGGGAAAAAATTTCCCTCTTTCCTACATACTCTAACTTGAGCCTCACTATCCTCGTAAAAACTCTTCACTGCTTTCAGTAACCTACCTCCTACACCATACACTTGCAACATCTGCCACATTGCCCCCCTATCCACCCTGTCATACGCCTTTTCCAAATCCATAAATGCCACAAAGACCTCTTTAGCCTTATCTAAATACTGTTCACTTATATGTTTCACTGTAAACACCTGGTCCACACACCCCCTACCTTTCCTAAAGCCTCCTTGTTCATCTGCTATCCTATTCTCCGTCTTACTCTTAATTCTTTCAATTATAACTCTACCATACACTTTACCAGGTACACTCAACAGACTTATCCCCCTATAATTTTTGCACTCTCTTTTTTCTCCCTTTGCCTTTATACAAAGGAACTATGCATGCTCTCTGCCAATACCTAGGTACCTTACCCTCTTCCATACATTTATTAAACAATTGCACCAACCACTCCAAAACTATATCCCCACCTGCTTTTAACATTTCTATCTTTATCCCATCAATCCCGGCTGCCTTACCCCCTTTCATTTTACCTACTGCCTCACGAACTTCCCCCACACTCACAACTGGCTCTTCCTCACTCCTACAAGATGTTATTCCTCCTTGCCCTATACACGAAATCACAGCTTCCCTATCTTCATCAACATTTAACAATTCCTCAAAATATTCCTTCCATCTTCCCAATACCTCTAACTCTCCATTTAATAACTCTCCTCTCCTATTTTTTAACTGACAAATCCATTTGTTCTCTAGGCTTTCTTAACTTGTTAATCTCACTCCAAAACTTTTTCTTATTTTCAACAAAATTTGTTGATAACATCTCACCCACTCTCTCATTTGCTCTCTTTTTACATTGCTTCACCACTCTCTTAACCTCTCTCTTTTTCTCCATATACTCTTCCCTCCTTGCATCACTTCTACTTTGTAAAAACTTCTCATATGCTAACTTTTTCTCCCTTACTACTCTCTTTACATCATCATTCCACCAATCGCTCCTCTTCCCTCCTGCACCCACTTTCCTGTAACCACAAACTTCTGCTGAACACTCTAACACTACATTTTTAAACCTAGCCCATACCTCTTCGACCCCATTGCCTATGCTCTCATTAGCCCATCTATCCTCCAATAGCTGTTTATATCTTACCCTAACTGCCTCCTCTTTTAGTTTATAAACCTTCACCTCTCTCTTCCCTGATGCTTCTATTCTCCTTGTATCCCATCTACCTTTTACTCTCAGTGTAGCTACAACTAGAAAGTGATCTGATATATATGTGGCCCCTCTATAAACATGTACATCCTGAAGTCTACTCAACAGTCTTTTATCTACCAATACATAATCCAACAAACTACTGTCATTTCGCCCTACATCATATCGTGTATACTTATTTATCCTCTTTTTCTTAAAATATGTATTACCTATAACTAAACCCCTTTCTATACAAAGTTCAATCAAAGGGCTCCCATTATCATTTACACCTGGCACCCCAAACTTACCTACCACACCCTCTCTAAAAGTTTCTCCTACTTTAGCATTCAGGTCCCCTACCACAATTACTCTCTCATTTGGTTCAAAGGCTCCTATACATTCACTTAACATCTCCCAAAATCTCTCTCTCTCTCCTCTGCATTCCTCTCTTCTCCAGGTGCATACACGCTTATTATGACCCACTTCTCGCATCCAACCTTTACTTTAATCCACATAATTCTTGAATTTACACATTCATATTCTCTTTTCTCCTTCCATAACTGATCATTTAACATTACTGCTACCCCTTCCTTTGCTCTAACTCTCTCAGATACTCCAGATTTAATCCCATTTATTTCCCCCCACTGAAACTCTCCTACCCCCTTCAGCTTTGTTTCGCTTAGGGCCAGGACATCCAACTTCTTTTCATTCATAACATCAGCAATCATCTGTTTCTTGTCATCCGCACTACATCCACGCACATTTAAGCAACCCAGTTTTATAAAGTTTTTCTTCTTCTCTTTTTTAGTAAATGTTATACAGGAGAAGGGGTTACTAGCCCATTGCTCCCGGCATTTTAGTCGCCTCATACGACACGCATGGCTTACGGAGGAAAGATTCTTTTCCACTTCCCCATGGACAATAGAAGAAATAAAAAAGAACAATAGCTATTTAGAAAAAGGAGAAAAACCTAGATGTATGTATATATATATATGCATGTGCGTGTCTGTGAAGTGTGACCAAAGTGTAAGTAGGAGTAGCAAGATATCCCTGTTATCTTAGCGTGTTTATGAGACAGAAAAAGAAAACCAGCAATCCTACCATCATGTAAAACAGTTACAGGTTTCTGTTTCACAGTCATCTGGCAGGACGGTAGTACTTCCCTGGGTGGTTGCTGTCTACCAACCTACTACCTACAATATGACATGTCGTCATATATGAGTAAAGGGATCATGTCAATTCTATTGTTAAGTAAGTAAGTAAGTAAATTTATTCAGGTATACACAAATACAGTTACATAGAATTATCATACATAGCAGCATATGTGTACAGAACCTAGGATAACCCAAAAAAGTCAGACGGAGTGACTTATTTCCATTGGGGTCCTTTTACCTTATTATTATAATATAAAGGTTATAATATTTTCTTATTATTCTACAATGAAGATAACATCTTATTATCATACTAAAAAGACTATCTACTACACGAGGGTCATTAAGACTATCTACAATACGAGGGTCATTACTAGGAATAAGGTAAAATTTACACGTATGTTAGCTAAAAAAAATAGAAAATCATGGTTACTAAGTTTACTCAGAATGCTATGTAACTTTGTGACTTTGCAAATGGTCCAAGTCGGACCGAAAAGTCCGACTTGGACATTTGTTCTTCTGTCTCCTATGTGCGGGTTTATTTGCGTATTTTCCACTCAGGGTGTTGTGCCTTTTTGTTGTTTAGCTCAGAATTCTTCGTATATATCAATAACAAACTTGAATCTCCTTTGATGAAGAGCCAAGGGTACAGAGGCATCGTAGTCCACGACACTCTTGAGGTAGTGGAAGGCCTCGTTCAGACGCCCTAAAGCTCCAGCCGCGAGTCATCATTTAACTAAAACCCGCGTCAGGGAACACTTGTCCTGTTTCCTGTCGAATCTTGCTCTGACCTGACTCTTGAGGCATGCCAAATAGATCATGAGTTGTACTGATACTGGTGCTCCATATTTGTACGACCGTACAGAAGTGTGTACAGCAGAGGGTTTGTTTACATCAGCAGTGTTTACCAGGGGAGCGGAGGGGTTGTAGGGGTGTTCACCCACTTCGTCTATAAGACGACGTGACTAAATAGTAATTTTTCTTTACAGACGCTATAAAGTATTTAAGAGAGCCGTTACAACGTTATTCCATCAGTTAGCACTGGAAGTGACAGGTGTGAGCAGTGGATGAGCGCAGCATAGACGTCGTCATGAAGGTAGGCTGCCATCACCGTGTGTATGAAAGACATGCTGATTGTAAAGCATTTATTGATTGTCATCACCGTGTTGCGTTTTAAAAGGATTCCAAGATAGTACTGTGACCATCGGCTTTCAAGCATATAGTTCTCTATGTAGAGCGGCTAAGAGATGTTTTCCTGGCCCCTGACAAAAGTCTAATTAAGGAAATGGATGTCATAAACACAATGAGAGAACTCTGTCAGCATCCGCTGTCCCCAGATTCTTCAACCTTCTACCAGAAGACGTAAGAAATATTGCCGGTGCTGGGCTTGAAGCTTTCGGGGGAAAACTAGACAAATTTCTGCACGATATGCTTAATCAACTGGGACTAGATGGTTACGTTGACTTGCTTGCTATAAGTTGCCGTAGCCTGGTTGATCAGTTGATTAACAGGGTTGTAGTTAAGCAACCACATTTTTTTTACAACTTTCTTTGTTTTTTCTGTCTCACGCAGTTTCGCCCACTCTTCTACACGTTTGTACGTTTCTCATTATTGTGCTATCATCCATGAATAGTGACCCGTAGGAAGCTATCCAAGCTGAAGGTCTGTCCACCCTAGGAATCTAATCGCCCCAGGAGACTATCCATCCACCCTGGAAATCTAGCCTTCCTAGGAGTCTGTTCGCCCTTGTAGTTTATATTCTCTGGTAAGTCATTGATGCATACTGGGAACAGAATGGGAGAGCTGAGCCTTGGGATCTTCGAGGACAATGCTGGTTATCAAGTCAGCGAACGGGTAGGAATCGAACCCATGGTTGGAACTCTATAAGTTGTGTGATTTATTTTCAGCCGTGTTATTACGATTTCCTAAGTAACGATGGTTATGTTGAAAATGGTACAAATTACTGACAAGCTGATGAGTAAGACATGTCCAACAAATGAGTATCTTTAGTGCTGAAACGCTTCACGTACACAGTAGGCGTCTTCAAAAATAAAGATAACCAACCGTGTCACATGTACCTTACTTATCAATGATGATTATGCTTCGCAAACCTCAAGTTTCAAGTCTCCCAGTGACTGCTTTCTGAAATTTAGGTGTTAGTGAGTATGTGTATATGTGATGGTCATCATTCTAGCATTCAAATATCAGTGAAAAACAAGCAAAACAAAAGTAGCCTTTGTAATAAAGTTGGTAGAATTACCGACAATATGTAAAGTAAAAGGACACAAGTGCAACTAATGTGACATTTATTGTGGCAACGTTTCGCTCTCCAGGAGCTTTATCAAGCCAATGGCTTGATAAAGCTCCTGGAGAGCGAAACGTTGCCACAATAAATGTCACATTAGTTGCACTTGTGTCCTTTTACTTTACAAAAGTAGCCTTTACCGACTTCTCCATCCTCAGTAATTCTCTTCTTGAGAATCAGCTGGCGGGTCATCATATGACCCGTCACTGTCAGGAAACATTTGTACAAGTGCTTTATTCTTCAGTGTAACACTGCATGGCTAGTGTGTTTTTTTTTACCATCAGTGTAAAACATCATCTGTTTACCTATATAATTTCATGCGGAATAAAGGTTTATAATTTGTTATTTATGAAGCGGATGTCGCTCATCCTAGCTGAGCTTCAGACGTCACCCATTCCACCCACAGATTCAAGGAGGCAGAGTCGGATTAACATGGGCGTTGGGACTCATTGTGAGCGTTGTCATAGCGGCTCCCTCTGAGCTTGACCACCAGGAGGGTGTGGACGTTGCTATAATGACACCCCCAGAGCTTGACCACCAGGAGGACGTGGACGTTGCTATAATGACACCCTCAGAGCTTGACCACCAGGAGGACGTGGACGTTGCTATAATGACACCCCCAGAGCTTGACCACCAGGAGGACGTGGACGTTGCTATAATGACACCCCCAGAGCTTGACCACCAGGAGGACGTGGACCTTGCTATAATGACACCCTCAGAGCTTGACCACCAGGAGGGCGTGGACGTTGCTATAATGACACTCTCAGAGCTTGACCACCAGGAGGGCGTGGACGTTGCTCTAATGACACCTTCAGAACCTGACTACCAGGAGGGCGTGGGAGTTTCTATAATGACACCCTCAGAGCTTGACCACCAGGAGGGCGTGGGATCACACCAACAGGAAAATGTAACTGCTCTTGCTACCACTGAGAGAAACGACAAATGTGAGATTATCTCTTGTTTGTGGATAACTAAGACACATGTGCAACAGTTAGGTATCTTTATTTTGCAACGTTTCATCTACACAGTAGGCTTCTTCAGTCGAGTACAGAAGAATCAGCAGAAGCAGTAGAGATGTGAAGACGATGTAATCAGTCCCTTGAAGACGTGGTTCTGAGCTGGTCAATCCCTCAGCCTGGAGAAGAGTTATATTCCAGACTATGGAGCATAACTCTTCTCCATTCTGAGAGACTGATCACCTCAAAACTACGTCTTTAAACCATACCACGGGTGGGGTTTGAACCCACAAACAGAGTCTCAAAACTCCAGACCGTCGCGTTAGCCACTGGGCCAATCGTGTCATTACGATTTCGTGAGTCATGTTGACGGCTTTGAGGGGACTTAAGCTAGAGTTCGTCACTGCCATGCTAGCGGGAGATTCGTCTGTAAAAACTTGGATTTGTGGTCACAGTGGTGCCTATGCTAACCTTCCTATGGTGTATAAATATACCAAGTTGGATGAATCTTATTAGAAGCTAGCTGGTCCAGTGACTAACGCGACGGTCTGGAATTTTGTGACTCTGACCGCGGGTTCAAATCCCACCCGTGGTATGGTTTGTTTACAATCGTGTAATTACGATTTCGTGAGTCATGCTTACGTCTTCAAGAGTGATCGACTGATTACATCGTCTCCACATCTCTACTGCTTCTGCTAACTCTTCTGTACTCGACTGAAGAAGCCTACTGTGTTAGTGAAATTTTCGGAATAGAGATACCTGTTACACATGTATTTTACTTATTAATCTGTCGATATTGTATACCATTATTATTATTATTATTATTATTATTATTATTATTATTATTATTATTATTATTATTATTATTATTATTATTATCATGGGGAGCGCTAAACCTGTAGGATTATACAGCGCATGTGGTTGGGATGGAAGGTATTCAGGCTTAGTTCAGGGAACCGGAGCAGAGATCCAATTCCCTTGATCAAGAGCCCCTCTCCAGCGTCTAGGAACCTCCCCTGAGGGGGATACCATTTTCAGATTCATCTTCTGTTTGTAAATTGTGCAGATAACGTCTCCAAAGACAGAAATGCGAAATTCAGATCATGTCGTGTGACTAGGCTGTCTTGAGGATGATTTATACAATTTAAGTAGGCTATTTTACAGGGTCAGGCCTTTTAAGAGAAGTAACCTATTGTTAGAATCTTGATGATAATTTACAAGACACAATGGAAGATTATTTTTCGATATTAATTTCTTCTCTAGAGTAAAATTATTGTGAAGTCATGTCAGTAGGTCGTGTGATTTTTTTGAGACTAGGCAGCATGTAAGATAATGATGAACCTAAATGAAGCTTCATCATCTGGCTATCATTTTGACCAGTTTTTTTCATAAAATATTTTGTTTGCCCTTGAAGTTTGTTAACATTTTCTAGTCTCTTGGCATACTTCGTAGTCTGTTAGCATGCTTCCTAGTTTGTTAACACATTTTCTACTCTGTTAGCTTACTTCCTAGTCTGTTAGCATACTTCCTAGTTTGTTAACACACTTTCTACTCTGTTAGCTTACTTCCTAGTCTGTTAGCTTACTTCCTAGTCTGTTAGCTTACTTCCTAGTCTGTTAGCTTACTTCCTAGTCTGTTAGCATACTTCCTAGTCTGTTAGCATGCTTCCTAGTTTGTTAACACATTTTCTACTCTGTTAGCTTACTTCCTAGTCTGTTAGCTTACTTCCTAGTCTGTTAGCTTACTTCCTAGTCTGTTAGCTTACTTCCTAGTCTGTTAGCATACTTCCTAGTCTGTTAGCATGCTTCCTAGTTTGTTAACACATTTTCTACTCTGTTAGCTTACTTCCTAGTCTGTTAGCATGCTTCCTAGTTTGTTAATACATTTTCTAGTCTCTTGGCATACTTCGTAGTCTGTTAGAATGCTTCCTAGTCTGTTAATATATTTTCTACTGTTAGCATATTTCCTAGTGTTTTAACATACATCCTAGTTTAACATACTTCTCACCCACAATATTTACCCGCGTGAGATACACTTTGTTAACACTCTTACCCTTACCAACATTGTTCACTTGTGTGTTAGTCTTTCGTTCACAGTACAATATACTTCTTTCATTGTGTGTGTGTGTGTGTGTGATACAGTATTGGTGGTGCTGCTGAAGATCCAGCCAGACATGTGTGCCACTAACGATCCAGTGCTGGCCATGGGAACCTGTGTACCTGCCAAAGAATGTACTAAAACCAGCGGTATAGCGTCGGGCAAGTGCGCCAAAGGTTACGGCGTCTGCTGCATAGGTGAGTTACCCCTTAATTAACGTCGCAACTAACATCTTGAGTTAATAGAGTTATTAAGGCTTATTGAAAATGGGTTGGGCAAATGGTTTTGTTAGTGGGTTTGGTTTTGAGAACCTGCCTAGTATGGGCCAGTAGGCCTCCAGCAGTGTTCCTCTTTTTTATGTTCTTATGTAGTTAAATGAGATATTTATATAAAGACTAATTGGGTGCCTTTTTTGATTGCTACAGTCAGCCAGTGGCTTCATCAATCAAATATTGAGAAAAACTATGGAATACGTAAAAAGAAAGTTTGAGATAATCAGTCCCTCAGCCTGCTTTTAGCAGTGATGATGGACTGAACACATCATCTCGAGGCTGAGGACTGATTCCCTCAAAGTTCTCTGAATATTCCTCCGTTCTTCTCTGTAGTGGACTGATAGACACTCGTTGGCGAAACGTTGCCTCAAGAAACATACCCAAATATCGCATTGAACTACTTGTTAATTTTCTAAACCATTTATATAATAATATACAAATAAGCTTCACATAAGAGAGAGAAGATTGTGACGACGTTTCGGTCCGGCTTGGACCAGTTAATGTACCAAATCGGACCGAAATGTCATAAGTTTCTCCTCTGTGCGGGTTATTTGTGTATTGTTCCAGTCATGGTATTGTGACTTTATATTCTAGATAATAATATGACTGAAGAGTGTGAACCCTGATATACGTCATTCATTCATTAGGGATTTGCCGGTACTTCCGGCCCCGGTCTTCTCCAGATGGTGACCCGGCGGTGGCCCCCGGGTTGTGGGTGTTGTATGATATACGTCCTGGTCTGACTCGTATCCTTGAATCTATATACGTCCTGGTCTGACTCGTATCCTTGAATCTATATACGTCCTGGTCTGACTCGTATCCTTGAATCTATATACATCCTGGTCTGACTCGTATCCTTGAATCTATATACGTCCTGGTCTGACTCGTATCCTTGAATCTATATACGTCCTAGTGTGACTTGTATCCTTGAATCTATATACGTCCTGGTCTGACTTGTATCCTTGAATCTATATACGTCCTGGTCTGACTCGTATCCTTGAATCTATATACGTCCTAGTGTGACTTGTATCCTTGAATCTATATACGTCCTGGTCTGACTTGTATCCTTGAATCTATATACGTCCTGGTCTGACTCGTATCCTTGAATCTATATATGTCCTGGTCTGACTTGTATCCTTGAATCTATATACGTCATAGTCTGACTCGTATCCTTGAATCTATATACGTCCTAGTCTGACTCGTATCCTTGAATCTATATACGTCCTGGTCTGACTTGTATCCTTGAATCTATATACGTCATGGTCTGACTCGTATCCTTGAATCTATATACGTCCTGGTCTGACTCGTATCCTTGAATCTATATACGTCCTGGTCTGACTCGTATCCTTGAATCTATATATGTCCTGGTCTGACTTGTATCCTTGAATCTATATACGTCCTGGTCTGACTTGTATCCTTGAATCTATATACGTCCTGGTCTGACTTGTATCCTTGAATCTATATACGTCATGGTCTGACTCGTATCCTTGAATCTATATACGTCCTGGTCTGACTCGTATCCTTGAATCTATATACGTCCTGGTCTGACTCGTATCCTTGAATCTATATATGTCCTGGTCTGACTTGTATCCTTGAATCTATATACGTCCTGGTCTGACTTGTATCCTTGAATCTATATACGTCCTGGTCTGACTTGTATCCTTGAATCTATATACGTCCTGGTCTGACTCCGGTGGCCTGGTGGCTAAAGCTCCCGCTTCACACACGGAGGGCCTGGGTTCGATTCCCGGCGGGTGGAAACATTTCGACACGTTTCCTTACACCTGTTGTCCTGTTCACCTAGCAGCAAATAGGTACCTGGGTGTTAGTCGACTGGTGTGGGTCGCATCCTGGGGGACAAGATTAAGGACCCCAATGGAAATAAGTTAGACAGTCCTCGATGACGCACTGACTTTCTTTGGTTATCCTGGGTGGCTAACCCTCCGGGGTTAAAAATCCGAACAAAATCTTATCTTATCTTATCCTTGAATCTATATACGTCCTGGTCTGACTCGTATCCTTGAATCTATATACGTCCTAGTGTGACTTGTATCCTTGAATCTATATACGTCCTGGTCTGACTCGTATCCTTGAATCTATATACGTCCTGGTCTGACTCGTATCCTTGAATCTATATACGTCCTGGTCTGACTCGTATCCTTGAATCTATATACGTCCTGGTCTGACTCGTATCCTTGAATCTATATACGTCCTAGTGTGACTTGTATCCTTGAATCTATATACGTCCTGGTCTGACTCGTATCCTTGAATCTATATACGTCCTAGTGTGACTTGTATCCTTGAATCTATATACGTCCTGGTCTGACTCGTATCCTTGAATCTATATACGTCCTGGTCTGACTCGTATTCTTGAATCTATATACGTCCTGGTGTGACTCGTATCCTTGAATCTATATACGTCCTGGTCTGACTCGTATCCTTGAATCTATATACGTCCTGGTCTGACTCGTATCCTTGAATCTATATATGTCCTGGTCTGACTTGTATCCTTGAATCTATATACGTCCTGGTCTGACTTGTATCCTTGAATCTATATACGTCCTGGTCTGACTCGTATCCTTGAATCTATATACGTCCTGGTCTCACTCGTATCCTTGAATCTATATACGTCCTGGTCTGACTCGTATCCTTGAATCTATTTTAAATGATAAGGTTCGTTTGACTCGCCTCGTTACAGCACTCCGAAGCTGCGGGAGTTCAACCAGCTACAACAACACATACTTCGTGAACCCCAGCTACAGCGGTATGGACTCAGGTGCTGGCACCTGTACTCTGACCGTCAACCGCGTCAACTCGAACATCTGTCAACTGCGTCTCGACTTCCTGGACTTCGACTTGGCGCAGCCAGACGCTGATGGCAACTGTATTACAGACTTCCTTACCATCACTCCATCCTCCTCCGTTCCCAGGATCTGTGGATCCAACGATGGACAACACAGTAAGTACAACTTTGGTTTAGAAAGATATTTCAGCAAACACTAGGACATCTTTTAACAAACTGGACGTATCCCACCGAGGCAGGGTGACCCAAAAAGAGACAAGGAAAGGTTACTCTTTCTCTCTTTTTAAGTTTAGTAATGTATACAGGAGAAGGGGTTACTAGCCTTTTGCTCCCGGCATTTTAGTCGCCTCTTTACGACACTCATGACTTACGGAGGAAAAATTCTGTTCCACTTCCCCATGGACATATTTGGAAATAAATGGTATAAATACCGACACAGTGGTAATATAAACACATAAGCAGTACAGTGTGATTGAACATCAAAATGGTATACAATACCGACAGGTTGTTAGGTAAGACACATATGCAACAGTTAGACAACTTTATTCCGAAACGTTTCGCCTACACAGTAGGCTTCTTCAGTCGAATACAGAAAGTAGGCAGGAACAGTAGAGATGTGAAGACGATGTAATCAGACTGATTACATCGTCTTCACATCTCTACTGTTCCTGCCTACTTTCTGTATTCGACTGAAGAAGCCTACTGTGTAGGCGAAACGTTTCGGAATAAAGTTGTCTAACTGTTGCATATGTGTCTTACCTAACAGTACAGTGTGATTCTTTACTGAAAACGTTTCGCCCACATAGTAGACGTTATTAAGTCACAAACAGATCTACCTGCGTGGGTGGAAGTTACGTACCTTCCACCCAGGTAGATCTGTTTGTCTCTGATGTAGACAATGTCTAATATAGTCAGTGTCTAATATAGTCAGCGTCTGATATAGACAACGTCTGATATAGACAGTGTCTAATATAGTCAGTGTCTAATATAGACAAACTCCTGGAGAGCGAAACGTTGCCAGAATTAGTTACATCCGTGTCCTTTTACCTACCAAAATGTCAGTATTGTATTAATCGCCTCAGTTTTGTGTGTCTTCATAAAATGAGTGGAAACTCGCCATGGGTTCAAACCCCACCTGTTCCATGGTTTGCTTGTCTTATCAAAATTTATAATAGTCTGAGCTTATCTCTCCCATTGACTCTTATCCTTAAAATAATATGTATATTTAATGCATAAATGGATGTGTCCCGCAGTGTACGTCAACGTGGACCCAGCTGGTGGACCGATCAGGGTGACGGTGGACCGCTCTCTGTCCAACGTGACTCGTTCTTGGAATATCAAAGTCAGTCAGATTCCCTGTGACTCACCCTACAAAGGTGAGGACGGAAATAAAAGGTTGACATTCCTACACATGCACTCACCTCTCAACAAGTCCTCTTTCACACACACACACACACACACACACACACACACACACACACACACACACACACACACACACACACACACACACACACATACACACACGAACTATACATAGTTTTAAGACGAGGTATGATAAAGCTCATGGAGCAGGGAGAGGGAGGATCCAGTAGTGGTCAGTGAAGAGGCGGGGCCAGGAGCTGAGTCTCGACTCTTGCAACCACAATTAGGTGAGTACACACACACACACACACATAGGCGGGGCCAGGAGCTGAGTCTTGATCCCAGCAACAACAAATAGGCGAGTACACACACTCAAACTGGTGGGGCCAGGAGCTGAGTATAGACCCCTGCAACCACAAGTAGGTGAGTACTCACACACACACACACACATACACACACACACACGCACACAAACACATAGGCGGGGCCAGGAGCTGAGTCTTGACCCCAGCAACAACAAATAGGCGAGTACACACATTCAAACAGGTGGGGCCAGGAGCTGAGTATAGACCCCTGCAACCACAAGTAGGTGAGTACTCACACACACACACAAGGGGTATGTCCTCCGAGGAGAGGTCAGTTTCTCTCTCTCTCTTACATAGACAGTCCTCACATAACTAATCATACATTCCCTTGCACATACATCATCGTAAATCCAGTGTTACATACACATATCATGACATTGTACATTGTTTATCTAATATGTCATGTTTTTGTTTCTGGACGTGTGTCAGCGCCCAGCGGATGTCTGCAGTACTACACGGCCACCTCAGGCACCATCTACAGCTTCAACTTCGGTCCTCCTTTGCCCGTCTCTTCCGGTGGGTTGTAGCAACTGTGGATGAATGAGACACTTGTACAGCACTTTATTGTGGCAACGTTTCGATCTCCACGAGATTTGCCAAGCTTGAGAAAGCTCCTGGAGAGTGAAACGTCGCTACAATAAAATGCCACATTAGTTGCATGTACGTTCGTTTACCTACAGAGATGAGATATGTGTAGAAATTTAAATCTCAGTTTCGCGCTGTAACAAAATGGTTATTATTCCCTGTTACTATTATTATCATTAGGGAGCACTAAACCCTTAGGGATTATACAGTGGCCTGTGGGAGGGAGGAGATGGAAGGCATTCAGGCTGAATTTAGGGAACTGGAGCACAAATCCAATTATTATTCCCTGAATTTTTTGCAATGACTTAGAAATGACACAATCAGTTTACAACTTTCAGACACACGTCAGATTGCCAACCTGGACTACGGTGCGTGTGTGGAGATGGCTGACGGCTATTGTGGCATTATCTGGGAGCGTAACACCACCAGCGGCAATAGCAGTTTTACTGTCAGCGATCCTGGCCCTTATGCACCAGGTAGGTGGACATCTGTTTTAAGAGTCCTTAAAATGTATCATGCTAGAGAGACTAGACCCAGGCTAGAGTGGTTTGGTGAGTTATGAGGTAGTCACTACAAGTGCCATGCTTTGATGGCATTGAGATTTTCAACTGCAGCATACTGGACCAGTGTCACAATGTAACTGCAGCATACTGGAACAGTGTCACAAAGTAACTGCATCATACTCGACCGGTGTCACAAGGCAACTGCAGCATACTGGACCAGTGTCACAGGGTAACTACAGCATACTGGACAGTGTCACAACGTAACTGCGGCATACCGGACCAGTGTCACAGGGTAACTGCAGAACACTGGACCAGTGTCACAAGGTAACTGCAGCATAGTGGACCAGTGTCACAGAGCAACTGCAGCGTACTGGACCAGTGTCACAAGGTGACTGCATCATACTGGACCAGTGTCACAAGGTAACTGCAGCATACTGAGCCTGTGTTACAAGGTAACTGCAGCATACTGGACCAGTGTCAAAGGGTAGCTGCAGCATACTGGACCAGTGTCAGAAGGTAACTGCAGGATAGTGGACCAGTGTCACAAGGTAACTGCAGCATACTGAGCCTGTGTTACAAGGTAACTGCAGCATACTGGACCAGTGTCAGAAGGTAACTGCAGGATAGTGGACCAGTGTCACAACGTAACTGCAGCATACTGAGCCTGTGTTACAAGGTAACTGCAGCATACTGGACCAGTGTCACAGGGTAGCTGCAGCATACTGGACCAGTGCCACAAGGTAACCGCAGCATACTGGACAAGTGTCACATGATAACTGCATTATATTGAACCAGTGTCACAGGGTAACTGCAGCATACTGGACCAGTGTCAAAGGGTAACTGCGACATATTGGGCCAGTGTCACAAGGTAACCGCAGCATACTGGACCAGCGTCACATGGTAACTGCGGCATACTAGACCAGTGTCACAAGGTAACTGCAGTACACTGGACCAGTGTCACAAGGTAACTGCAGTATACTGGACCAGTGTTACAAGGTAACACAGCATACTTGACCAGTGTCACAAGGTAACTGCAGCATACTGGACCAGTGTTACAAGGTAACTGCAGCATACTGGACCAGTGTCACAAGGTAACTGCAGCGTACTGGATCAGTGTCACAGGGTAACTGCAGCATAATGGACCAGTGTCACAAGGTAACTTCAGCATACTGGACCAGTGTCACAAGGTAACTGCAGTACATTGGACCAGTGTCACAAGGTAACTGCATTATATTGGACCAGTGTTACAAGGTAACTGCATTATATTGGACCAGTGTTACAAGGTAACTGCAGCATACTTTACCAGTGTCACAAGGTAACTGCATTATATTGGACCAGTGTTACAAGGTAACTGGATTATATTGGACCAGTGTTACAAGGTAACTGCAGCATACTGGACCAGTGTCACAAGGTAACTGCATTATATTGGACCAGTGTTACAAGGTAACTGCAGCATACTGGACCAGTGTCACAGGGTAACTGCAGCATACTGGACCAGTGTCACAGGGTAACTGCAGCATACTGGACCAGTGTCACAAGATAACTGCAGCATACTGGACCAGTGTCACAAGGTAACTGCAGCATACTGGACCAGTGTCACGAGGTAACTGCAGCATACTGGGCCAGTGTCACAAGGTAACTGCAGTATACTGGACCAGTGTCACAGGGTAACTGCAGTATACTGGACCAGTGTCACAGGGTAACTGCAGCATACTGGACCAGTGTCACAAGGTAACTGCAGCATACTGGACCAGTGTCACAAGGTAACTGCAGTATACTGGACCAGTGTCACAAGGTAACTGCAGCATACTGGACCAGTGTCACAAGGTAATTGCAGCACACTGGACCAGTGTCACAAGGTAACTGCAGCATATTGGACCAGTGTCACAGGGTAACTGCAGCATGCTGGACCAGAGTCACATGGTAACTGCAGCATACTGGACCAGTGTCACATGGTAACTGCAGCATACTGGACCAGTGTCACAAGGTAACTGCAGTATACTGGACCAGTGTCACAAGGTAACTGCAGCATACTGGACCAGTGTCACAAGGTAACTGCAGTATACTGGACCAGTGTCACAAGGTAACTGCAGTATACTGGACCAGTGTCACAAGGTAGCTGCAGCATACTGGACCAGTGTCACAAGGTAACTGCAGCATACTGGACCAGTGTCACAAGGTAACTGCAGCATACTGGACCAGTGTCACAAGGTAACTGCAGCATACTGGACCAGTGTCACAAGGTAACTGCAGTATACTGGACCAGTGTCACAAGGTAACTGCAGCATACTGGACCAGTGTCACAAGGTAACGGCAGTATACCGGACCAGTGTCACAAGGTAACTGCAGCATACTGGACAAGTGTCACAAGGTAACTACAGCATACTGGGCCAGTGTCACAGGGTATCTGCAGCATACTGGACCAGTGTCACAAGGTAACTACAGCATACTGGACCAGTGTCACAAGGTAACTACAGCATACTGGGCCAGTGTCACAGGGTATCTACAGCATACTGGACCAGTGTCACAAGGTAACTGCAGTATACTGGACCAGTGTCACAAGGTAACTGCAGTATACTAGACCAGTGTCACAAGGTAACTGCAGTATACTGGACCAGTGTCACAAGGTAACTGCAGTATACTGGACCAGTGTCACAGGGTATCTGCAGCATACTGGACCAGTGTCACAAGGTAACTGCAGTATACTGGACCAGTGTCACAAGGTAACTGCAGTATACTGGACCAGTGTCACAAGGTAACTGCAGTATACTGGACCAGTGTCACAGGGTATCTACAGCATACTGGACCAGTGTCACAAGGTAACTGCAGTATACTGGACCAGTGTCACAAGGTAACTGCAGTATACTGGACAAATGTCACAAGGTAACTGCAGTATACTGGACCAGTGTCACAAGGTAACTGCAGTATACTGGACCAGTGTCACAAGGTAACTGCAGTATACTGGACCAGTGTCACAGGGTATCTGCAGCATACACAAATAACCCGCACATAGAAGAGAGGAGCTTACGACGATGTTTCGGTCCGACTTGGACCATTTACATACTGGACCAGTGTCACAGGGTAATTACAAAATAATACTGTACCAGTGTTACAAAGTAACTGCATTATACTGGATCAGATAGTAAATGAGATAGTCAGTCCCTCTCCCTTGCTGAACTATTCCCAGAAGATAGAAACTATGAGGTAATCTGTTCCTTAGCGTGGAAATCGACGTTCACTAACTTAGTTTTGATAAATCTGCTGTTATAACATTAACGAAGTAACGTTTGATCTTTGCGTTACTTGCAGGTTCTGCAGACGCAGCGTTGTTCGACGCAAACTGTACGACTGATTACGTCATAATACCTGGAGGTGTGACAAACGATGGCGAATCCCATGACCGATACTGCGGCGACAGTTTCCCTGACTCTGTCACCTGTAAGTCACCAGTTATCTGTAAGTCACCAGTTATCTGTAAGTGACCAGTTATCTGTAAGTCACCAGTTACCTGTAAGTCACCAGTTATCTGTAAGTCACCAGTTATCTGTAAGTCACCAGTTATTTGTAAGTCACCAGTTATCTGTAAGTCACCAGTTATCTGTAAGTCACCAGTTATCTGTAAGTCACCAGTTACCTTTAAGTCACCAGTTATCTGTAAGTCACCAGTTTACCTGTAAGTCACCAGTTTATCTGTAAGTCACCAGTTATCTGTAAGTCACCAGTTATCTGTAAGTCACCAGTTATCTGTAAGTCACAGTTATTTGTAAGTCACCAGTTATCTGTAAGTCACCAGTTATCTGTAAGTCACCAGTTATCTGTAAGTCACCAGTTACCTTTAAGTCACCAGTTATCTGTAAGTCACCAGTTATCTGTAAGTCACCAGTTATCTGAAAGTCACCAGTTGTCTGTAAGTCACCAGTTACCTTTAAGTCACCAGTTATCTGTAAGTCACCAGTTACCTGTAAGTCACCAGTTATCTGTAAGTCACCAGTTATCTGTAAGTCACCAGTTACCTGTAAGTCACCAGTTATCTGTAAGTCACCAGTTACCTTTAAGTCACCAGTTATCTGTAAGTCACCAGTTACCTGTAAGTCACCAGTTATCTGTAAGTCACCAGTTATCTGTAAGTCACCAGTTATCTGTAAGTCACCAGTTATCTGTAAGTCACCAGTTATCTGTAAGTCACCAGTTACCTGCAAGTCACCAGTTACCTGCAAGTCACCAGTTATCTGTAAGTCACCAGTTATCTGTAAGTCACCAGTTATCTGTAAGTCACCAGTTATCTGTAAGTCACCAGTTATCTGTAAGTCACCAGTTGTCTGTAAGTCACCAGTTACCTTTAAGTCACCAGTTATCTGTAAGTCACCAGTTACCTGTAAGTCACCAGTTATCTGTAAGTCACCAGTTATCTGTAAGTCACCAGTTACCTGTAAGTCACCAGTTATCTGTAAGTCACCAGTTACCTGTAAGTCACCAGGTTATCTGTAAGTCACCAGTTATCTGTAAGTCACCAGTTACCTGTAAGTCACCAGTTATCTGTAAGTCACCAGTTATCTGTAAGTCACCAGTTATCTGTAAGTCACCAGTTACCTGTAAGTCACCAGTTATCTGTAAGTCACCATTTATCTGTAAGTCACCAGTTATCTGTAAGTCACCAGTTACCTGTAAGTCACCAGTTATCTGTAAGTCACCAGTTATCTGTAAGTCACCAGTTACCTGTAAGTCACCAGTTATCTGTAAGTCACCAGTTACCTGTAAGTCACCAGTTATCTGTAAGTCACCAGTTATCTGTAAGTCACCAGTTATCTGTAAGTCACCAGTTATCTGTAAGTCACTCTTTCAACATTATCACCCTCTATCTCTCCTTCACTCCCTCACTATCACCCTCCCTCCCTCACTATCACCCTCCCTCCCTCACTTCCTCCCTCCCTCCCTCACTACCACCCTCACTCCCTCACTACCACCCTCCCCCCCTCACTAACTCCCTCCCTCCCTCACTACCACCCTCCCTCCCTCACTAACTCCCCCTCTCCCTCACTACCCCCCCTCCCTCCCTCACTACCACACTCCCTCCCTCACTACCTCCCTCCCTCCCTCACTACCACCCTCCCACCCTCACTACCACCCTCCCTCCCTCACAACCACCCTCCCTCACTACCTCCCTCCCTCCCTCACTACCACCCTCCCTCCCTAACTACCACCCTCCCTCCCTCACTACCTCCTTCCCCCTCCCTCACTAACCACCCTCCCTCCCTCTATACCACCCTCCCTCCCTCACTACCTCCCTCCCTCCCTCACTACCACCCTCCCTCCCTCACTACCACCATCCCTCCTCATTACCACCCTCCCTCCCTCACTACTTCCCTCCCTCTCTCACTACCACCCTCCCTCCCTCACTACCACCCTCCCTCCCTCACTATCTCCCTTCTTCCCATCACTACCACCCTCCCTCCCTCACTACCACCCTCCCACCCTCCCTCACTACCTCCCTCCCTCAATCACTACCACCCTCCCTCCCTCACACCACCCTCCCGTCCCTCACTACCTCTCTCCCTCCCTCACTACCACCCTCCCTCCCTGACTACCTCCCTCCCATCACTACCACCCTCCCTCCCACACTACCACCCTCCCTCCCTCACTACCTCCCTCCCTCCCTCACTACCACCCTCCCTCCCTCACTACCACCCTCCCTCCCTCACTACCTCCCTCCCTCAATCACTAACACCCTCCCTCCCTCACTACCACTCTCCGTCCCTCACTACCTCTCCCCTCCCTCACTACCACCCTCCCTCCCTGACTACCTCCCTCCCTCACTACCACCCTCCCTCCCTCACTACCACCCTCCCTCCCTCACTACCACCCTCCCTCCCTCACTACCTCCCTCCCTCCTCACTACCACCCTCCCTCCCTCACTACCTCCCTCCCTTCTCACTACCACCCTCCCTCCCTCACTACCACCCTCCTCCCTCACTCACCAACCCCCCTCCCTCACTACCACCCTCCCTCCCTCACTACCTCCCTCCCTCCCTCACACCACCCTCCCTCCCTGACTACCTCCCTCCCTCACTACCACCCTCCCTCCCTCACTAACCTCCCTCCCTCCCTCACTACCACCCCTCCCTCCGTCACTACCATCCTCCCTCCCTCACTACCTCCCTCCCTCAATCACTACCACCCTCCCTCCCTACACTACCACCCTCCTCCCTCACTACCTCTACTCCCTCCCTCACTACCACCATCCCCTCCCTGACATACCTCCCTCCCTCACTACCACACCTCCCTCCTCACTACCACCCTCCCTCCCTCATACCACCCCTCCCTCCCTCACTACCCCCTCCTCTCTCACTACCACCCTCCCTCCCTCACTACCTCCCTCCCTCTCTCACTACCACCCTCCCTCCCTCACTACACACCCTCCCTCCCTCCCTCACTACCACCCTCCCTCCCTCACTACCTCCCTCCCTCCCTCACTACCACCCTCCCTCCCTGACTACCTCCCTCCCTCACTACCACCCTCCCTCCCTCACTAACCACAACTCCTCTCCCCCGTACCTCCCTCCCTCCGTACCTCCCTCCCTCCCTCACTACCACCCTACCCTCCCTCACTACCACCCTCCTCCCTCACTAAACCTCCCTCCACCCCTCCCTCACTACCACCCTCCCTCCCACTCACTACCACACCCTCCCTCCCTCACTACCTCCCTCCTCCCTCACTACCACCCTCCCTCCCTCACTACCACCCTCCCTCCCTCACTACCTCCCTCCCTCCCTCACTACCACCCTCCCTCCCTCACTACCACCCTCCCTCACCTCACTACCACCCTCCTTCCCTCACTACACCCTCCCTCCCTCACTACCTCCCTCCTTCCGTCACTATCACCACCTCCCTCCCTACACTAACCACCCTCCCTCCCTCATACCTCCCTCCCTCCCTCACTACACCCTCCCTCCCTCACTACCACCCCCCTCCCTCACTACCTCCCTCCCTCCCTCACTACCACCCTCCCTCCCTCACTACCACCCTCTCTCCTCACTACCATCCCTCCCTCCCACTACCACCCTCCCTCCCTCACTACCACCCTCCCTCCCTCACTACCACCCTCCCTCCCTCACTACCTCCCTCCCTCCTCACTATCACCCTCACTACCACCCTCCCTCCCTCACTACCACCCTCCCTCCCTCACTACCACCCTCCCTCCCTCACTACCTCCCTCTTCCGTCACTATCACCCCTCCCTCCCTCACATACCACCCTCCCTCCCTCACTACCCTCCCTCCCTCCCTCACTACCACCCTCCCTCCCTCACACTAACCATCCTCCCTCCCTCACTACCACCTCCCTCCCTCACTACCTCCCTCTTTCCCTCACTACCACCCTCCCTCCCTCACAACCACCCTCCCTCCCTCACTACCACCCTCCCTCCCTCACTACTCACCCTCCCTCCCTCACTACCACCCTCCCTCCCTCACTACCACCCTCCCTCCCTCACTACCACCCTCCCTCCCTCACCTAACCTCCCCTTTCCCCTCACTACCTCCCTCCCCCCTCACTACCACCTCCCTCCCTCACTACCACCCTCCCTCCCTCACTACCACCCTCACTACCACCCTCCCTCCCTCACGATACCACCCTCCCTCCCTCACAACCACCCTCCCTCCCTCACTACCTCCCTCCCTCCCTCACTACCACCCTCCCTCCCTCACAACCACCCTCCCTCCCTCACTACCTCCCTCCCTCCCTCACTACCACCCTCCCTCCCTCACTAACCACCCTCCCTCTTCACTACCACCTCCCTCCCTCACTACCACCCTCCCTCACTACCACCCTCCCTCCCTCACTACCACCCTCCCTCACTACCTCCCTCCCTCCCTCACTACCACCCTCCCTCCCTCACAACCACCTCCCTCCCTCACTACCTCCCTCCCTCCCTCACTACCACCCCCTCCCTCACACCACCCTCCCTCCCTCACAACCACCCTCCCTCCCTCACTACCCCCTCCCTCCCTACTACACCTCCCTCCCTCACATACCACCCTCCCTTCCCTACACCACCCCCTCACTCACTACCATCCCTCCCTCCTCACTACCATCCCTCCCTCCCTCACTACCTCAACACTAATATGTTCCCTCACACCACCATTTCAACATAAACAGTACGAAATAAGTCTCCACCTCATATTACCTCCTCAGCGTCTATACGCCCTTTCCACTCTACTACCAATGCTCCCTACAAACAACCCACCCTCCCGTCTCAATACCACCCTCCTCCCTGCTACGTACCACACCACCCTACTCACCTCAACACCACCACCCTCACCTCAACACCACCACCTCCCTCACCTCACTACCACCCTCACCTCCCGGTACTACCTCCCTCCTCACACACCAACCTCTACCCTCCCCTGAACAACCATCACTCCCTACTAACCACCCTCCTTCACCTCACTACCACCCTCGCCTTCCCTTCACTACCTCAACACTGAAATTGGGTTTCCTTCCTACAACTAATTTCACACTAAATCAGTATACGACATTGTTTGGTATTTAAGGTCAAACTTCAGATTTTTTTTCAGCGTATATGAGAGCCTTTCAACACTGTACGTTCACCAAGATGGTTCTGAAAACAAAACCACTGAGGGTGACCTCGGCTTCTGTCTCAACTACCGTCAGATCACCGATTGCTAGTTGGGTCACCTGTCAACACCAGACCATTGCTAGCTGGGTCACCTGTCAACACCACCAGACCATTGGTAGTTGGCACCTTCACACACACACCAGACCATATGCTACTGGGTCACCTGTACACCACCAGACCATTGGTAGTTGGGTCCCGCATTGGTCAACACCAACCAACATTGCAAAGTTTGTCGACTGTTCAACACCAACAGACCATTGCTAGCTGGGTCACCTGTGAACACCACCAGACCATTGCTAGCTGGGTCACCTGTCAACACCACCAGACCATTGCTAGCTGGGTCACCTGTCAGCACCACCAGACCATTGGCAGTTGGGTAACCTGTCAACACCACCAGACCATTGCTAGCTGGGTCACCTGTCAGCACCACCAGACCATTGCTAGCTGGGTCACCTGTCAACACCACCAGACCATTGCTAGTTGGGTCACCTGTCAACACCACCAGACCATTGCTAGCTGGGTCACCTGTCAGCACCACCAGACCATTGCTAGCTGGGTCATCTGTCAACACCACCAGACCATTGGTAGTTGGGTCACCTGTCAACACCACCAGACCATTACTAGCTGGGTCACCTGTCAACACACACACACACACACACACACACACACACACACACACACACATACATACTGGAGTATGCAGCACCTGTTTGGAACCCGCATTTGGTCAAGCACGTCAAGAAATTAGAGAAAGAGCAAAGGTTTGCGACAAGGTTAGTCCCAGAGCTAAGGGGATTGTCCTACGAAGAAAGGTTGAGGGAAATCGGCCTGACGACACTGGAGGACAGGAGGGTCAGGGGAGACATGATAACGACATATAAAATACTGCGCGGAATAGACAAGGTGGGCAAAGACAGGATGTTCCAGGGAGGGGACACAGAAACAAGAAGTCACAATTGGAAGTTGAAGACTCAGATGAGTTAAAGGGATGTTAGGAAGTATTTCTTCAGTCACAGAGTTGTCAGGAAGTGGAATAGTCTGGGAAGTGATAGTGGAGGCAGGATCCATACATGGCTTTAAGAAGAGGTATGGTCGCTACGAGGTCACTCTTCCTGCTCATAAAGCAGGAAGAGTGACCTAGTAGCGACCAGTGAAGAGGCGGGGCCAGGAGCTGTGACTCAATTTCTGCAA